AGTTTGATTGATTTTGTCTCAAGCAAATTACAAAAAATAAGTAAATAAGCAAGCTAAATTAGCATCTCTCTTTTAGCAAACAAGCTAACAAATACACCATTACATAATAATTAAAATCTGTCAACCTGACAATAAAGGAAATAAATAACAATTACAAACCAAAAGCTGGTTTTATAGCCTGCAGTAACTAATATCCCACTAAAATACTGCCCAGATAAATCGATCTAACCAACTGTAACACTCTAGTTATTATAAATGACGCTACATTTGGAGGCAGTCAGATTAGATGTAGATAAATTTATCATTCCTGTAGGATTGAGAGATAATTCTGGAGCGTTTCGACCCTTTGTGAGTTGTTCTTCTGGGAGACAGAGCGCTCCACTGCTGGCAAAGGCCTCAGCTGATATACTGCGGCGCTCTATCTCATCCACTTTACAAGGAGGGGAATTAATAACCTTGACATGACAAAGTGAAAACAGCCCACTAATGTGATTTCCGATGTTATAGTTCCCCGGAGCAGCTTCCAAGCCACCTTTCTACGGTTGTGGTTGTGTGTTTCCCTGACCCGTCATGTGTTTGCCTCCCTCGTCCGTTTAGTATCGCTATGCTAAGCTGGAGCAGCCCTCTCAGTTCGGAGGGGAGCCGTGCAGTTTCTACGGCAGGGAGGAGGAGGCCTGTATCGTTCCAGCCCGCTACACCTGTGACAATGTTCCTGTATGTGAGGGATTCCTCTGCAGCCAGACAGGTATCTCCTGCACCCACACCCATACTCTGGAAGTGCTGCAAAATTCAAGCTGCAATATGAACAGCATTATTATCTGCATTGCATGTGAGAGGTAATTTTTATATTTTGACTCTCCTCATCTCATCTGCCCTCTATCCTTCTGTCTGTAATCCCTAAATCAATCTTAACGAGCCATCAACAAGTCTGTCTTCATTCCTAAAACTCCCAACAGCTGGAATATGCAAACCATGTCAGGAGCAGAACTCAGACCTAATGTAGACTATTCTTTATTCATATTTTTGTGTGTCGTGCCTCTTTTATAATTCACCGCTCATGTTTGTTCATTCAAAAGATAAAAATCCATGACATCCAAACATTCTTGTCACATTATGCCACATTGTGATTCCAATTAAAAGCAAACATATACTGTAAGGTGTCATTAGCGCCGTTCCGCTCATCTGATGGAGATCATAAGGTACAGCAGTGGGTTGAAACAAAACAACGGACAGATGATGCAGTCGTACATGTCATTTAGATGATGTCAAAATGGCATCTCTACTGGGAAGAACTAAGATGCAAGAAAAAAAGAGTCAAAAACTGAGAAATAAGAAGAGAGATCAGCAGCTGCCGCCATGTTGGCAGTGCCAAAAATGATCAAAGGGTGGAACCTGTGTGGAGATGAGGCCGGCCACCCACTGTCCTGTAAGCCAGGCCCTTAATTATACTTAAAACAATTTAAAGGGATGGGTTGTTTAAAAATGAATCCTTCTTACAGTTGTCACACACTTGGATATTAGCCATAGAGACCAAAAGTGTTTTTGTACCAGGTTGTAAAAATGCTTATTTATGCTGCAAAGTTGGTCATTTTGACATAATTGTTTGTGGGAAATGACTCGCTTTTGTACTAAGCCTCAAGTGGACATTTGAGGAACTGCAGTTTTTAGCACTTTGACGTTGTCACTGGAGGTTGCCGCTTGAAAACAAGTAGCCTGGTACTGTCCAAAGGTTTATTAAAATAAATGGAAATAAATAACTTTTTTTTTTTAATTAAATAAAATGAGCCTACCAACATCGCTAAAGATCAGCAATGTTACTGAGTTCAGCCCAGAGGTAGCCCAACCAGAAAAACCCACCAATAAACCTCAGCTTCTCACTTCTCATTAAAAAAAAAATTGGCAATATTTTTCAAACATGTTCTCAAGTGCTATATATAAAAAAAAAAGAACAATAAGCTGACTTTGGATGGAACCCTACTTGCTTTTCCCCACTGTGTTCAGCCTTATGCTAAGCTAAGCTAATTAGCTGCTGGCTGGCATGTCACATTTACAGCAGCGACGTGGAGAATCATATTAATCTTATCATCTAATTCCTTCCTATGAGGCAACAGGCATTGTAGAGGGTAAGCCAATGCTTTAAGCCACTGAGGGAATCCAAACGGGAAAACTTAATTGACGTGTTGTATTACCGATGTCTAATGAATCAAAGTCACACTCATATTGCTTAACGATGCTCATAGTGTCTTTATTTGTTATCCAAATCTTCTAAAATACATATTTCCAACCAACATCTATACATACGGTAAATTTCAGCGTGTTGCTCAGCCCTAGGAAACCCTACCTCGACAGAAAGGTTCCTACCTTATACAGACAAAATTGAGAATCAGCACACATTAACGTGAGACACCAAATATAGAACAGCATTTCCTGATCTGCTCCTACAGGCACAATTCCAAAAAAAAATGTCAAACTAGTCATTTTATGTTGTTTTTCCTGTGACTGAACACCATCAACCTCTTTCCCCTCCTTCAGGTCGCTGTATTCCCAGAACGCTGCAGTGTAGTGGCGAGGACGACTGTGGGGACATGTCAGATGAAGCAGGCTGTAAGAAGGTTTCTAAGCCCTGCAGGCAGGAGGCTGAGGAGTACTGGGGAATTGAAAATCTTGCCAAAGGGTGAGTCATGTGCCCATTAGTCCGCGTCTTAGTCCAAGATGTTTTCGAAGGACTTAAGGATGTCAACATGTTGCTCTTCTCAAACCAATCTGCGCTCCAATAATGCTGCCGTTCTTTCAGAATAAACATCCTGAACAGCAACCTGGAAGGAGTGGTGCTCGACAACAGATACTACGCAGGCAGCTGTCTGCCTCACTACATCCAGGATGTCAGATTCAGGAAGCCTTACAACTTACAGCAGTACACGCTACAGGTGGGAATGTCACACAATTAGTAGGATACATACTTAATGCACACACTTTATAAATTGTACCGAACAGCTTTAATAATGGCTAATAACTGACTAATGCTCTGTAGATTTGCTATGAGCCACCAACAAGTAAAATGATCTGGAACAACATTCATAAATTACCGATTTGATATGTATTTATAAATGAATTAACAAGATGTGAAAGTGCTACTACTATTCTTGAGTGTGCAGTTTGCCACCTGTTCCAAGAAATTATGTTCGTACAGCACCGTCTGTATGTTCAAAATGTTAATTCCTGACGTGTTAAATACATCGGTTTCTGTTGTCTTCTACAGACAAAAGGCTCATATGATTTCACCCTGCAGTCTTTTGATTCCTACTCTGACTACATGGACCACACCGTTAAGGAGCGCACGTCAAAAACCACTGTCTCTATCGGCTTTGCCATTCCAGGGGTAGTGGAATTTGGATACAACTTCAACAGCGACAAATACTCTAAGTCAGTCCAGAAGATTCGCCGTTACTCTGGCAAGGTGAGCGACGTTTTCTTTTTCTTCTCTGCTCACTTCTGTGCTACTGATGGATATAAACCGATCAGCCACAACATTGAAGCCTTGGGTCCCGACATTCACAACACAACACAGTCCTTCATGTCAACAGCACTCCCTGAATGACAAAGCTCCTCACCAGACCACAAATCTGCTCAGGGACAGCTTGAGGAACATGACAAAGATTTAAGAGCAATTACCTGGCCTCAAAAATTCCCCAAGATCCCAATTCAATCAAACATCTACAAGATTCCCCAAAGGTCCTGCTGCCAACTTCCCAGTGTCAGACACCACAAGACACCTCGAGAGGTCCCATGTCCAAGCTTCGATGCCCAAAGCTGTTTTGACAGGGCAAGGGAGACCTTCACAACATACATTCTGTATTTCTCAAAAACAGCCCAGTCAAACTCAACAATTTCCATCCATCCATCATCTCTACACCGCCGAATCCTCACTAGGGTCATGGGGGGCTGGAGTCTATCCCAGCTGACTCAGGGTGAAGGCAGGTTCACCTGGACAGGTAACCAGTCTATCACAGGGCTACACTTAGAGACAGACAACCAAGCACACTCACATTCACACCTACGGACAATTTAGAATCACCAATTAACCTCAGCATGTTTCTGGACCTTGTGGAAGGAAGCCAGAGAACCCGGAGAGAACCCACGCTGCACGGGGAGAATGTGCAAACTCACATAGAAAGATCCCGGGTGTCCTCACTGGGACGCGAACCGGCGACCTTCTTGCTGCGAGGCGACAGTGCTAACCACCGACCCACCTTGCAGCTTTAGCAGAACTTTCTCACAATAATTCAGAATATCATAAAAAAACGTGTGCCTTCTCTAACCATGAACAGTCGGGTAACCTCCACCTGCTTACTCCAATCTCCAGACCAACAGCTTTGTGAGGGCAAAATCAGAACTGGAGTTGGCCCAGTACATGCTGAAGTCGGATGATTTGATGCTTCACCCAGAATTTCTGCAGCGCCTTCGCTCTCTGCCACAGACTTATGTTTATGGGGAATACAGGCAGATCTACAGGGACTACGGTACCCACTACATCACCGAGGCTGCCCTCGGAGGAGACTATGAGCACACCATCATCTTGAACAAGGAAAGGCTGGAGAAGTCAGGTAGGAGTGATTATCAAACTGAAGCTGGGGGTGCTCGGTCAAAGATTCTTTATTTACTGGACATGACAAGAAATTTTTGATAATTATTTAGATCAGACGCTCAAAGACATCAGATTCCTAGAATTGGTTGGCAGCATTTTATGGCATCGATCTTGAACTATATAACAGCAATCACTCTGCATTTGTTGTTTTTTCTAGATTACTCTTTGGAAGACTACTCATCTTGTGTGCAGTCAGGCCTGAAGGTTGGAGCGAGCATAAGTGGTGTTTATGTATCGGCTGGGTTGAATTTTGGATCCTGTAGTGGCCTGCTGAATGAGATGGGAGGTGAGCTTCCCGGTTTGGTCAGATGTCTTTCAGCCTGCAGAACGTCCTCTGGTTTACACCTGACAAATGAACTGATCTAAAACTTTGAAGTCATTCTGTCTCCCTACAGGGGACACAGTCAATGGCAGCATGGTGGAGGACTTTGTTGCTGTCGTAAACGGTGGAAGCAGCGAATCCATCAGTGCTTTGGTGTCAAAGAAGCTTCCCACCCCAGAGCTGATGAGACTGTGGGGCGAAGGCGTGCGCTTCAACCCGGACTTCATTCGCAAAACAGTGAGTTTCCCTCTCTAAAGCCCACGTTGTCCTTTATATATGTTGTGTGCTTCTGCTACTAGTCAAACTCATAATGCTCTTTTATCTGTGTTTCTTTTCTCCCATAATCTCTTGTGACATTAACACAATCAATACCTCGTTTTGTTTCTCTTTCAAATTTCTCTGTCTCAATCTGAAGCTCTAATAAAACCGTCCATGAGGAATCTGACCTGACTAATTGATACACGGCCAGCATTGGCACAATTACACAGAGGCGAAGTACAATCGAGCGGATCAATGGCGCGTCGGAGAACAAACGGCGAATGATGCCAAATAGCGAGCATGCCAAAGACAAATAGTCTGCCTCGCTGCAACACAGTCAGGTCTCAGCACTTGTGGGGCTTTTCAGTTTGGCTCTATCCAAAAAAAGCAGCCAGTTTTAAGAGATTTCAATTTGAACAATCTTGGTTTTATTATATTTTATTATATGTGCCTCATTAGACGCGGCCGCTGTATGAGCTGGTGACCTCCAGAGACTTTTCCCATTACGCCACCCTGAAAAGAAACCTGAAGCGAGCCCTGTCGGAGCACCTGGCTGAGGCTAGTTCATGTCGCTGCGCTCCCTGTCGCAACAATGGAGTGGCTGTTATGAGAGGTAATCCAGAGGATATTAATGTTTGTGTTGTTTCACTGGAAATCTTACACATCTATAAGCTCAGCGCAACTTTGTTTAGCCTTACTTTTACTAAAAAGGACGCTCAGTTGACAGATCACTCATGCAACCAGTGATGTAAATCTAGACACTACACATTTCTCTAAGGATAAAAAGCATAAATGTGATATTTGATGATGATTACAATGATGGTATGTGTGTTGATGAAGTGAGTATCTTTCCTCAACAGGCACAAGGTGTGACTGTGTGTGTCCTGTTGGTTACACTGGACGGGGCTGTGAAATCACGAATAGGCAAAAAGGTTAACAAACCAAAACACAAAACAACGCTCAGTATGTGACATTTATTTTACTTTTGTGCACTAATCCCACTGACACGACATATGGTGTGACCCATTGTGACAGAAGTGGCCATCGACGGCAGCTGGAGCTGCTGGGGAGCCTGGTCGTCCTGCAGTGGAGGGAAACTGACGAGGAGTCGGCAGTGTAACAACCCGACACCCAGCAATGGAGGCATGACATGCAGCGGACTGCAGGAAGAGTCTACTGGCTGCTTTTAGAAACCCCTGATGTCGAGGATGTCATAGTGTGTGGTGTGTTTGTCTTTGACTGCCTAAGTGTGACTTAATGATTCATATTTGAATAAAAAGGTACCTAAATTGGATTTCTTCAGTGACTATTTTGTCGTGAATTTGAAGCCATGTGTGTTATTTCTTGATACGGCTGCTCGTCTGTGCAGCTTTTCACTAGCTCTGCCTTAGGCGCTGACCTGGATTCAGCGTCTGTTACACGGATTTAACCTTCACATTAGAGGCAATTTGCAAAATGTCACACACAGTATAAATGACACTCTTGTCCTTAGAAAAAATCCAGACACATACACAAAGTCTGCACAACACGCATTTATTCCCACTTTTGATATACAGTGTTTACAGTGTGTTTCATTTCTGAGGCCTTTAATGTTTTGAAAAGGAGAGTTTTGTGATAGCACTCAACAGCCTCTTTACCCTGAAATCTGAGACAAGCTTCTCGTTAGCAGCGGCGAGCCTGAGAAGTGGAGCCCAGGCAGTTTGCTCCGCCTCCATCAGGTGGAGGGTTATTACAGACTCGTGTCCGAGTCTTCCTCCCTGATGTGCAGGATGACCAGGGCCCCCAGCAGGACCACACCCCATCTGTCTTGGTATCTGTTGAGGAAAATTAAAGTGGTTATACGTTGATTTTAACCAACTTGCCCAGAGGAAATCTTTGCTCACTGTCATTATCCCATCACATATAGAGAGTGAAGCAGGGACCTGAAGTATAATTTTTGTACTTTAACTGCATAGCATTAAGTTGATAGCTGCCCTTAATGAATGGGTCACAGACCAAGTTCTACAAAACCATTATGTGGCAACACCTCCGACACTTTGACATATCTTGGAGAATATGTAAATCGGTTATAAGGATGAGTGTCTTTAAAAAGTACCTAGAATTGTTGCACACCAGGACATGAACTGTTAATTATATATTTTAGACGAGGAAGTGACTCAAGCGATGACAATATGCACCTTTTGGACCAGACTAAAATATCTCAATCGCTATAAAGTCTGATACAGACATTCGTGGTCCTCTGGGAGTGCAGTTTTGTTCTAGCTCCATCATGAAGTTTACATTTTAGAGCAACACCTTGTAATAATTATTGGATGGATTGCCGTAACATTTGCTACGGACATTTAAGCTCTCTAGAGGAACATTTCTCCTCATTTTATTAATGTACCACAATGAACCAGACCACCGCAATGGTCTGACTATGAAAGGCTACTTCATTGTGTGTGTGTCTACAGTAAACAGCAAAGCTCATGTTCTTGGACTGGACATAGAGGATCACACAGACCCCCCTACATGGGCGGCTTATGGCTTATGGCTTATGGCGGCTGTAAAATCATTTCTGGGGATCGCCAGATGGTTGTCGGGCAAAAAAAATGAAATCACATGTTAAAATTAAAATAGCTTTTGTGCCACAGAATAGCATAGACCTGCATTTATCAGGTGAACACAAACACAAATGTGAGCTAATGCCATATTTGTTGTGTTTAAAGCTGTTTCTAGTCTGTTTTTGTGGTTTTCAGTGTGACTTGGTGATTTCTCTCACCTCTCCCGAGTGTCTCCTCACAGGCCTCTCCCTGGAACCCAGACTTACAGATGCAGGTACAGGAGGTTCCTGAGAGGGCGGGGATCCCGTTGTGCCTGCAGGGGGCGCAGCGACAGGGGTCGAACTGCTGCAGATGCTCATCCAAAGCCCTCTGTAAGTTGGCCATTCGAGCACCTACATGGTCGGCAGCTGTGCTGTAGTGCACGAGCTCATAAATCGGCATGGTCTGGGTCACAGGGGGACAAGGACAGAGACAGAGAGATGGATCGACTTAGTGGGAACTGAACTGAAACTTGTGTCTGGTTTTCCTTCTGTTGGAGAAGATGTAGTTCTTCCACTAACTTACCTCATGTTCGATGACTGCTGGGTTGTATTTGAGAGATGCTCCCCACTTCTTGTACGTGTCGGGGTTCCTGATGGCCGCCAGCCCAGCGCTGGAGTCTATGATTCCTCCCTTTACCAGAGTAACAACGTCCTCAATCACAGATGATTTAGAGCTTTTTTCTATATTTCAAAAAATAAATATATTTTTTTTAAGCTCCTCTAACACATCACACCAACAATACTTGATGAATTAATTCAATGTTTGAATAACTATAATACATAGTTACAAACAACAATAGATCAAACAAATACATTGCTTATAATATAGATATTAGAGGTATCTCGAGTAGAGCTACCTACCAACAGATGTTTCTCACCTTGATCAAACCTTCCATCTTTATTACAAAAATCTTTTTTCCACTTTAGATCTATTTTTGCATATTCATCTAATGGATAGGTAAAACCAATAGAGACACCGATGCATGAACCAGCTTGTTCAGCCTCAATTTCTAGAACAGCCAAGAAAGAGAATAAAACAAAGTTAACTCTACATTGCATTTCTTATTAGATTGCACTGATTCACAGTTTGGAAAGCCCACAGTACTTGATTCTGCCATAGATGTTTTGTTGACAACCACAATGTATTCCAGGGTTCCCCCCATGGTTCCCTCCGTGACGTAGTGGGTGCCGAATGTGTTCAAGAATCTGGAGTACATCCCAAAGTCGTATTGCTCTGGGAGCTCCATGAGTGAAATGTAGAAATCTTCATGAAGCATCAGCTGATTGGTTCTCATCTTGAAGTGGGCAGTTTGTACTTTGGACTGAAGTCTAATGAAGCCAAGGTCCTGAGGAGAAAAGGTAAGATGTTTATACTATTTTAAAATAATAATAATAATAATAATAATAATAATAATAATAATAATGGAAAAAGGTCATCCCCCCCAAAAAACTTTTTTTTTTATGCCTTATTTTTTATAGACATTAAATTTTTTTGAGTCATGCACGTGGCTGCTTTCTTGCTCTAATATTTAATCCTTTAATATGAAGCTAGAGCTATACAACTGTGAGCTTAAATTGTTGTCAGTATAAAGACTGAAACAGGGAGTAAAAGCTTGCCATGAATCTATCTGCCAACATAGACTGTACATAAAAGACAGACGTAGTTCCAGGTCTGATAAGTGAAGCCGGTGAATGCATTCTTTCCAACAACCAGCAGGTGGTGACTCCTGTGGTTGCAAAAAGAGGTCGGATTGTATTGAAGTCAACTGAAAGTGACCCTACTTCTAACTTGATTTGCTACCTTGGTAAACATTTGTCTAATGAGTTCATGGTCCCAGTTGCTGGTTTCAAGTCTCCTCCAATAGAGACTGATGCTTACCTTGTAACTTTCAGTCTTATTTAGAGTAAAACAGACATAAAGCAGTGTTTGTGTTTGAGTGTGGCTACCATGGGAATACTATATGGGCATACATAGAGTCCTCTTGGTCTTGATTTGTAAGATTAAAATGGCGATGGCCAAACTCCAAACTCAAGGCTTCACTATGTCCACAGTCCACAAATAAATGTGTAACGTCGCTATGTCTATCTTTTCTGTGCAGTCTATGGTAACAAAATATGCATTCCTATAGCTCCTGGGAAGCTTGAACACAATACACCAAACCAAACTTTAAAAATAAAACAACGATAACGGACTACCTGAAGTCTCTGCTGCAGAGAGGCACTATGCACCACCAAATACCCAACATGAAGTCACCACTTGTCTGTTTTGTTTTTTGTACAGATTAAACAGATGTTTTATGTTTACTGGTAGGCATTAGAGGCATTCATAGGCAGATGTTATAAGTCTAGCTATCTCCCTCTGTTTTCACTCTTTATGCTAAGCTAAGCTAATTAGCTGCTGGTGGGACCTTCATATTGAATGAATAAACAATCATCTTCTCATCTAACTCTTGGCAATAAAGTAAACAATAAATATCTTTAAAGATACTGTATATATTTAAAAAGGAAGAACACTTGCACTTGTTGTATAGAAAATGTTGACCTCTGGGTCAGTAGGTCATACCTGGCTTCTATGCCGTGTTAAGTTGCTGAGAAACTCCGATTCTCCGCTGCCACTCATGCCCACTTGAACATAACTGATCCCAATGGAGGCTCCACCGTTGGAGGAGGACATGGTTTTCCTCGCCGTCAGCAAGCTCGACAAATCTTCAAAATACTCATGAGAGCTCTCCGATTTAGCCTGAGCCTGCAACAGGGTGAACTTCATCAAGATGTCTGTGTCCAAGACATCCACTTTTTAAGTGAAAAAAATAAATGAACAAGAGTAATACAGTACCACAAAACGGTAGGTGTGGTAGTTGTAAGGTTTCCGGTAGTTTTTTTCATCTTCATTGTAGTGCAGGTTCTCACAGAACGCATCATAAACGAACTTCCTCCATTCACCGTTATAGACGTATTCACACTGTCCTCCAAAGTACTTCGAGTCAAGGACGTGATCAACAAAGTCTCCAGTTAAGATGTTGAACCTATGAAGGAGCAGAATAATTAAGAATAATTGTTACATTTTAGTAAAGCTAAAGAAATAATGATGTGACAGGGAATTTATTTATGTTAAATATGTATTCTGTATGGGGCTGCAAGGTGGGTTGGTGGTTAGCACCGTCGCCTCGCAGCTAGAAGGTCGCCGGTTTGTGTCCCGGTAAGGAGACCCGGTATCTTTCCACGTGGAGTCTCCATGTTCTCCCCGTGCAGCGTGGGTTCTCTCCAGGTTCTCCAGCTTCCTCCCACAGTCCAGAAACACGTTGAGGTTAATTGGTGATTCTAAATTGTCCGTAGGTGTGAATGTGAGTGTGCTTGGTTGTCTGTCTCTAAGTGTAGCCCTGTGATAGACTGGTTACCTGTCCAGGTGAACGACCGTAGTGAGGATTAAGTGGTGTATAGATAATGGATGGATGGATGTATTCTGTATGTGAAAACTACACTGTGACTTGGATTTCGAATTATTCAAAACACTTTGCAAAGAAAAAAAAAATGTTCTGCTCAAATTATTCCTTTTCTCAGTTCTCTGTTGTGACTCTATTGTGCATCTTGTACTCTCTTTTGTGAATGCCTTGTGTCATGTGTGTATTTAATTCATAGCTGCCTGTAGAGGCGATAAAGCATATAAAAAATGAACAACAACAGCAGTAATCAGTGTGCAGTACTTACCCCTGAGTGCCACGTTCAGCGCCGGGGATTGGCAGGAGGGTGGAACACTTGTCGTCTCTCCGGTTCAAATCCGTACATCCGTCTTCATCAGAAAAATCATCACAGTCTGGTTCTCCATTACAGCGAAGGGACTGGCTGATGCAGCGCCCTGGGGGGGAAAAAGCACCAAAATGGATCCTCACGTACACAAACAGAAGCTATGCTGACTGAGTGGTCGTGGACGAGTCTTGCCTGTTTCTTTGCAGGTGAAACTGTCTCCGCAGTAATCCGGCACCAGACACTGCAAGGCTGACGTTGGACATGCCAGCCTCTCCCACAGTCCCTCGATACAGTCTGTCCCACCAAACTGTGAGGGTTTTTCTAGGCTTCGAAAACGGAACTGGGACAGAGCTTAAAATGAGTTAAAATCCCCCAGTTTGTCCATTATTACCTCGGACCATACATTGATGCAAAAACACACTAAAAGTAGGCCACATAATGTTGCATTACTGCTGGAATTAAAGTCAATTGGACTCAATGAACTGTCTTAAGTTACCATATAATATTTGATATGTACAGTCGTGACTCGATAATCCGACACTAAATGTAAAACCTTCTTTTATGTCGGATAGCAAGGCTGTCGGATTGTCAAGACGGAGGTCGAGATACAAGGAGGGCTTGATGCTGGAAGGCTCATTAGTTGTTAATATTTATTGTTCATAGT